TTGGCTGATTTGATACATGCCCACGACAATAATTGGCAGCCCGTGGGCATCCACACACACACACACACACACACACACACACACACACACACACACACACACACACACACACACACACACACACACACACACACACACACACACACACACACCACACACACACACACACACACACACACACACACACACACACACACACACACACACACACACACACACACACACACACACACACACACACACACACACACACACACGTTCACCTACAGGCCAGAGTGAGGAGGGGAAATAAAGGGGAAAGTTGACCACCGCCCTGGGAAATATGTGGCGTGTCTCTGAGCAAAAACAAGCTCTCCAGTCGGCGGGCAGCTTTTTCATTTGCCGCTCTCCAAGTTGTGTTCAGGGTAGAGAGAGGGGAGCACAGATAAATTGGTGGAAGTGTGTGTGTGTGTGTGTGTGTGTGTGTGTGTGTGTGTGTGTGTGTGTGTGTGTGTGTGTGTGTGTGTGTGGAGGGTGGGAGTTGGTGGTTGGTGTTATGAAAAGAACAGCAACAAACTCAATTTCAAGCCCAGAGTCCTGGAGGAGAAGCACTTGGTCTCTCAACCGCCAAACAAAGAATTGAACCTCTTCTCTGCTGCAGGGTTTTATTGTTGGAGGAACTATTTTCTTTAGAGGTCCACTGCTCTTCAAATCTATTATTAAGTATTTATAGTAGAGTATCTTGAGCTAATTCGTCAAGGTGTCATAAATAGTGCGTGTGAGCTTAACTGTGTGTATTAAACACTATTTTATTTCTTTTTTAAACTGTGGTTTGTGCTCATGTGTTTCATTATTGGTGTATAGGCTACTGCCTGAATATGCTTCATGAAAGGCAGGTTTTCCTATAAATAAAATCACTTTTGATCCAAAATATCTTGGTAACTTCTTTTATAAAGTCACATTGTTCTGTTGTCTTCCAAACTATTTGAAGTGCTGGTGCATTATTTAAGCTAAAATCCATTTAGTACCACCTTTTCCTGTGTGTTTGGTTTAATGGCCAAGGTGCAGGTAAAACAAGTGGCTTTTCAGTCTGCAATGGAGGATATTTGGAATTTCTGTTGCCCTGATTTAAACAGGGACCTCGATCCACCATTTTTGTAAACATTTGTGTTTTTGATGAGGGGTCCAGCTCGCAGCGAGGGAGAAGCGAGCTGATTAGCTGTTGAAGTCAAAGGTCAGAAACAAAACCATGGGATACAGTGTGACAGAGAGATTTGGGCTCCGCTTCCTGCATAAGGGATGATAAGAACTGCTAGGCGAGGGGCAAAAAACCACATGCTAATTATGGCCTGTCCTCTGTTTTATTCCTGTCGTATTAAAGCAAAGCAGTAAACATGCCTCTAAACTCCGTCGCTTGTATACAAGTCATAATTCAGACAGCTCGAGCAAATGAGATAAATGACTCCCACCACCTTCAAAGACAGGGGGATTTCTCATTTCGGTGGAAATTAAATTAATACCACTGGGAATGGCTCATGAATCTTCACTCAGCGTGTTGCGGGGATAACACCCCGCCTCAGATGTTTTCGGATATATTTGTCGGTCCTTTAATAATAACAGTATAGCAGAGAGAAATTCCCTCGGTGCATGGAAGAATTATTAAATCCACTTGTGCCAGCATGCCGCTTTCATTATGTCACTTTGGTGGGCCGATGAAGAGCACTCAGAGGAGCGTAATTGGTGGCATCCATTTGTGACCTTGGCTAGAGAGCGGGAGGCCATCGCATCATCAACACGAGGCGACAGGACGTCAGTGCCTCGGGGGGGGGAGCAGAGAGAGAGGGCTGGGAGACGGGGGAGGAATGGATGGGAGGACGGTGGCACTGCCATCTGTCTGTGTGTTCTGACCCACTGCCCTCCTCAGTGGCCCGGCGCCCAAATTAGGAGCGGCGACACAGCAGCTAATTGCACCACGTGAGCGGTTGTTTATGCGGGAAGCACCATCTCTGCACGGAGAAATTACAAGGCTCCACTCGACAAGATTTGTATCGAAAAATACTCTCGTCTTATTAGCCTAAAACCATGAAGTGGAGCAGACAAGAGTACTCCATCCCCATTACTGCTACATCCTTTTTGCCTCGACGCACAGTGGGTGGGGACACTTGTTGACCCACAGGATGTGACAAATTGAGCAAAACTTTTCTCTAAAACAGAAGCAGTGGTTAGTGTTGGACTAACAGAGGTTAGTTAGATCTCTTCTCTGTCTCTGAGCAGGTTTGCAAACAACAAGCGCCCTGTGCTCAGTTTACTGGCATGTCCGCTTGCTATAAAAACTTATTATTTTTAGAATGGCTGACTCCTGATATCTAGAGCCACCAAAGAGCCTCTACCTGGAATACTTTTAATAATAAGTGTGTCATTGATCCCATGGTCCTTTGCTCCCTCCTAATTATTATCCAGTTTTCTTTCTTTGCAAAAGGGCTTTATAACAGCTGCAACCCTTAAAGGTGGGGTCGGTACGTTTGAGAAACCGGCTCGAGATACACTTTGTGTTATATTCCATGGAATGCTCTTAACATCCCGATAGCAATGAATATCTGAAGTGCTTTGACAACAAATCCATAAAAATGTCATCTGTGGAAGCCGTGGCGCTGTAAAAAGCACGACCAATCATCTGAGCCGGCTAAAGTAACTGGATGGCCTACCTGCCTGTCAGCCTTCCATCTGTGCACAAACTTATCTCGTGCCCTCATTGGTCATGTGCTCGTTCGTGTGTGTTGGAGGAGGGGCTCTGTAAGGAAGTGGCAGATTTTTTCCGGCTGTGTACTTTCAAATTCTAGCGCACTCGAGCTGGTTTCTCCAAAATGACCTACCCCACCTTTAATATGAACAAAACCAACAGTTATCATTATTTCATTTTGAGGATGTAAATAGATTGTCAATTTCTGGTGTTCCAGTACAAATTGGACCTTTAAGAGAATATCAAAGATTCCTTAACTCAAGCTTGTCTCAAACCTTTTTTTGAGTTTGATATAGAAAACTTGAGAAAGAGCTTGTTGTGTTACTTCTCCTTCTTAGTGGCCAAATGTAAAAGATTCATACAGGTGTGTGTTGTTCCATCCTTATTACACAGCTTAGAATACTTGATTCTGATTGGTCAATTTGGACCTTCCAGAGTCTGTTATTTTTTGTTAGCAGATTGTTGCTAAGGAGAGAAGACTGTTGCTAAGGAGAGTAGACCGTTGCTAAGGACACTCTGATCAAGGGACAACAGTATGTGCAGTGATATCATTTCACAGAAAAAAATACTGTCACTTTAACTTCAGCTGTTGACAACACACATTAGTTTTCCCGACTATTTGATCTTAGTGGAAGCGATACAATTATTTAAAAATCAATATCGTGAGTCAAGTTGTTCGTTTATTTAGTATGAAGCCATGTAATAAGCGGGATAATGTGCATGACTGTCTCGCTGCACATTTATCGTTTTTCCTTACTTACAGGTGCACTAATTATTTACCAGGACGTCAGAAGTCAGTCAAACACAGTCTGCTCTCTACAGGGAAAATAATCCAATGGAAAATATGTTCACTGTCAGTTTGCAACACATTTGAAGTAACAACAGTCGTCCTAAATAATAACAGTGTATCTAGAAACTAATCAGTATAAAGCATCCAGACTGATGGGGGGGGGGTGTTCAGTTCACTTCCTGCTTCAAGGCAACACGATGCACAGCTTTAACATGCAGGAGAGACAGGGCGAGAGCAAGAGTCAGACAGAAGGATGAAGGATGAGAGGAGTGTGAAGGGTTTTGTTAAACTCATTCTAATGTGGGGGACATCACTTGGCTGCTTGACAAGCTGCCCTGAGGCCGAGATCATATGAGACACACACACACACACACACACACACACACACACACACACACACACACACACACACACACACACACACACACACACACACACACACACACACACACACACACACACACACACACACACTCTGCCAGTGGGTAAAATTAGTGGTTCATTAAGTTCTCCATCCACTTCTTCCTCATCAGTTTATCTCTCTTTCCTGTAATATCCTGCCATTCAGATCCTAAGGTGGGCACCGACAGAATGTGAAGTACATTTAAATTATTATGCGTAATGATGCAAATGTGCTCTAGGTCAAATTAAGGCAAAGAGGTGTCTCAAGTGAAACATGTTGCTGCTTGTTTTTGGACTTACTTAGTATACAGAGAGGATAAGGAAGGGAGCGAGTGGAAGAAAATGAATTCTTAGAGATAGGTTAACTTCAGGGTCTGAAAAGTGGAGCTGAGGTGGAAGTACGTTTACCTGTATTCATTATAATAGCCAGCAGGGGGAGGGGCCTGTTTCAGTTACTCAGAAGTCAGTCTGGATAGAAGTCTATGAGAAAATGACCCTACTTTTCATTTAGTTTGATACCTCAGAAAAACGTAATCCTATGGTGTCAGCTAGTTTATTTATAGTAAAATCAACAGCAAATCAGCCTATGACAAAAATGATAGCTACCTTGTGATTGACAAGTCACTACCATGCCATTGTTCATAGTTGTTGTTTTTTATTCAATGTTACAGCCGAGATAATGTTGTTTTCTCATGTGCTCGTTCTTGTACCTGACCTTGACATCCACTGAGACTAAGAGTATGAAAGGACAGACATAGCATTAACGGAGTTGCCAGTCAGTGTTCATTCTTTGGCGGTAAACGCTTGGTTTCCTGATCTATTTGTGGTCCCAGCTCAAAGGGCTCTGAAGGTGAACCAGGTCAAGGTGACATCACACGCTGTGACACCTGGCTCAGAGTCGCCGTGACGACCGTCCCGCCTCTTCAGTCACAGCTATCAGACAGGTGTGTGTGTGTGTGTGTGTGTGTGTGGGGGGGGGTGCCAGTGCACACAGATGATGTTGGTGAAGGACAAGATGGATGGATGTATGAGGACGGCAAAAACAATGATTTAAAGCTCATCACTTCCTGTTGTTGTTTCTTTCTCTAGTGAACCTACTCGACACGACAACCATCAGCGGAGACTGGGGCTGGCTGACGTACCCGTCACATGGGGTAAGAACAAAATGAAACATACTCTATCAAAATCAGTCACTTTGACCCCATAACATTTTAAGTTACACTCACTGTTGGAAAGAGGAGATTCTTAGCTTTGCAACGATATCCTTATTGGTTGTTGTTCTCCAAATATTCAGATGACATGATGACTGCACCGAGACACCATTTTGAGAAAAAGGCCTTCAAAGTTTGCATACAGTGTGTTAGCCAAAGTCATATTAAGAGTGGGCTCAAGGCTTATTCATAGGAAGAACCAAAACAATCGAACATCTGTATTTCTTGACTTTGTTATTATTGGCTTTTTTCGCTACAGGTCTAGAAAGTTGACTTTAAGAGAAGTATACATTTTACAGGTCAGTGTGAGTCATTTGTGCGTTGGTTAATTAAATATCTCTCAACAAAGCATACGTATCAACTGATAACAGAAACTATTATATATATATACAACCCTGTATTCGGAGATACTCGTGGATTCATATTAAAAACTCGGGTTTTGGTCATTTGGGGGTTCGGTTGGTTTTAACCAAAGTCTCATTTTCTGAATATGAATATTTTGTGGGTATATTCAGTCAATAAATAAATGTTTGAAGTTTGTAAAGACGGGATGGCAACTTTGGAAAACTTGTTTTGTATTTGTATGTCTCTCTGGAGAAGCCACCTGGAGGGGTTGAGGGTTTAAACGTTTGGTCATGAATGCGCGATCAATTATGTTGTGCCTATTTGAAATGTATTCATCATGTTTGCATGAGGAGTTAGATTTGTTGAACCTACCTCTAATCAACACCTATTCACCTCAGCATATTTCCTGGGTAGTCCTCATTGAAGAATATTTCTGTGAAAACCCAACTGCACACATTTCCACCACAAAGAGACACCTTTTGCAAAAACACTCCTATTTGTATCCCAACTCCACGCATGTGAGGTGGGGATTTTCAAGCTGTGCTTACGAAAAGGAATCTGTCTGTAACCACTGACAATACAGGCTAATTACGAGTTCCTCCATTGCAGTCAGACAACGGCATGCAACACTCTAATTCAGACATCACTTTTCAACATATTGTCACCAAGGTGCAAATCACAGTAGGGGGAGAGCCTACACCCCCTTAGGGGAGGAAGAGGGGAGGGAAGAGGGAGAAAGATGAAAGGGGAAGAGCGAGGTGACAGCGAGGGCACGGCGTTGCCACATTAGCATATTGTAATGCCACATGATGATGCCCGGGGTGATGAATTAGGACTCCAGCCGTGATCTTTATGGCGGCGAGAAAGCCACCGTGTCCCTGACTCCCCCGACTGTCAGTGGAGTGGTAGAAACATTTAACTCACCTCCAGCCCGCACAACAGACGGCGGTGCGATTGAACGGTGGCCAGCAGGAACAGATGGGTTGTCTTTCAAGTCCCCAGGAAAAGAGCCGGAAGAATTGGATTAGAGTTCTGAGCAAAATGACTCGTTCTGTGTAAAATCAGCGTGAGAAGTGAATCTCATAACATCTAGATTACACAAACTCAGCCCCGTTGTGTCTCGTGTCTCATTTCAGTTCAATAATGTCAGCAATATTCACCCCTAACTTGATGGGAGACATATTTTCACTGAGCTCCTGCGCATTAAATGTTTGATTGAATGGATTTACAGCGGTAGCGTGGCTTTGTGGCATTATGGTTAGGCTAGCATATTGTGCTGAATGACAAAGGGGTTGGTGAATACAATTGTTTTGTTTCATTTTTGAGAAGTCTCTTGAACTGGAGAGTCCTGGCCAAGATACAGCACAGTTACATACAACACAATAAAGAACAGATATCATGGTCACAGTGAGAAATGTCATCATACAAAGAGGTGGACCTTTGGTAAAGTTAGTAAAAACGAACAAGTTCAATGAGTTTCCATACTTTTCCGATGGACATAAATCTATAGTTAAGGTGGAAAACCAACAAGAATAGCCTTATAAATAAGGATATGCCAATGATTTAAGCTGTATGAAAAACATTTCTTATCAGTTTTTATACCGTTAAGTTTTTGTCTTATTGTATTGAAGAGATTCTGAAGTGAAATAAGTGTACAGGTTGTTAGTTAGAAGCAAAGGATGTGTCCAAACCCCCCCTCCCCCCCCCCTTTGTGCATTAATTCACCATGCACTACTTCCATTTACAAACTTTGGAAAACCACGACACACCGATCCAACACCCTCAAAATGATCCAATAACAATTAGTAAATAAAAGTATATTATATAGAAGATTTCAGCTGTTGACTTGCTATGTTCAATTCTTCGAACAGACGTTAGTAAGGAGTGTTGACCAGTACTTGGAGCGGGCCCCCAGTACTCGGATGGGTTTAATGCAGATTTCCCAAATTGTGCTCTGAACATGCATATGTGTGTGTGAGACAGAAAAAGAGGGTTTCATTCATAATCCGGTTATTGTTTCTTGACAATTGGAAATGCCATAATTTGGAAAATGTCAAGATTTATCTTCTGCTGTTCTAGAATCAAGAGTTTTGAGATCAATCAATCAATCAATCAATCAATCAATGTTTATTTATATAGCCCAATATCACAAATGTTACATTTGTCTCAGTGGACTTCACAGTTTGTACAGAATATCAGTGTGACAATACGACACCCTCTGTCCTTAGACCCTCTGTCCTTAGACCCTCACATCGTACAAGGAAAAACTTCCGAAGAAAACCCACAGTTTAAAGGGAACATGGGAGAAACCTCAGGGAGAGCAACAGAGGAGGGATCCCTCTCCCAGGACGGACAGACGTGCAATAGATGCCGTGTGTAAATTGAAAAGATAATACATTTGCAACATAGGTAGTCCAAATGTTTGGAAATGCATGTGTGTATAATAGTAAGATGAATCCACGAGGATATCCATCCAGGACCTATGATCCAGGACCACAGCCACGACTCAAGATCCAGGGCTCGCGATCCAGGACAGAGGAGCGCAGGATCATCCATGACTCCGGATCCCGGCGTATACAGACACCAAAAAGAAAGAGATTTGGGGAAGCTGGGTTAATCGGAACATGAGAGTACACAGGTATAGACAGAGAGAAGGAAGAAGTAAGATGTCCCCCGACAAACTAAGCCTATATCAGCAAAACTAGGGGCTGAATCTAATCAGCCCTAACTATAAGCTTTATCAAAAAGGAAGGTCTTAAGCGCACTCTTAATAACGGATAGGGTGTCTGCCGCCCAAACACAAACTGGAAGCTGATTCCACAAATGTGGAGCTTGATAAGAAAAGGCTCTGGCTCCCATTGTACTTTTAGAGACTCTAGGAACAACCAACAACCCTGCATTCTTGGAACGTAATGCCCTAGTAGGACAGTAGGGTATAATGAGTTCTTTAAGGTAAGATGGCACCTGCCCATTAAGGGCTTTGGATCCATCCTCCATTGAGTAAACAATATCCATCCATCCAATATCCATCCACGATAATACATTAGTTAAGCTATCTAAGGGTTAAACCTATACATACTGGCATGCCAATCCCAACCCTCTGGTTAAGGAGTACTCATTAAACAAAGTCACACAGTTAAGAAGGTGAGGTCAAAGGAAAAAACGTCCTCTCTGCTTCTCCTGGCGCTAAAGATAAAAAAATCTCATTATTCATGTTACGTTTCTTCTCTAATGGCACAGTGTGGTTTATCTTATAATGAATTAATTTAAGTCATAAGTTATATTACATTCTCAAATGGTAACTTTGAAGGTCTTGCACAATGTTGTTATACATTATTAGATGTGACAGAAGCAGTGTAAATATTCCCTACAGGGTGTTTAAATGATTTAATGGGAATAGAGGTTGCAAAGCACTTTCACTTAACCCTTCTCTTGCGTTTCGGGTCAAAAGTGACCAAGTTACTTTGTTTTTGATCATAAATAATGTGTTTTTCATCCAATTGCCTCAAGACCTTATGTTATCCTCCACACCTCTGAACATATACAATTGATGATCACCACTTGCATTGATTCTTTTGTGATTTATTCAACAGTGAAACACCCATGACCGCCATAGGAAATGAATGGGTATGAGTGTATTATGTTCATCCTGCAGATGGAAAACAACACACACACACACACACACACACACACACACACACACACACACACACACACACACACACACACACACACACACACACACACACACACACACACACACACACACACACACACACACACACACACCACACACACACACACACACACACACACACACACACACACACACACACCACACACACACACACACACACACACACACACACACACACACACACCACACACACACACACACACACACACACACACACACACACACACACACACACACACACACACACACACACACACACACACACACACACACACCTTGTGCTTATGTCCCCCCACACCTTCCAGACAAAACTATTTACTCTAAGTTACGGGAACACAATGAGTAGGCGACCGATTAGGCGATTTTCTGTCAGAGAGGCTCTGGACAAATGTTTTGAACCAGATGAAGAGGAGATTGAACCAGACATAGAGGACAATGTCAAATGGAAGACAACAGCGATCCAGACTATGAGCCTGACCAACAGTCAACAGACCAGGAAGAGGCCCCTGAGGGAGAGGAGCCCTGAATATTTATTTTTCTCTAAATGTTCATTGAGGAAAACAGTATCAGTGTCTTATTTTATATTCATCACAGTGAATGCTGAACTTGATGGGCCCACCGGTGGGTCCGGACCATATACTAGTTGAAAGTACACAAGGAAACACTCATTTGCTTGTATCAAATCAATACATAATTGGAACTGGAAGAATCTCAGCTACAACACCAACTAAAGCATTTCCATCTCCAGTAAACACAGCCTACATGGCAAGCATTTTTATAATATACGGTAATGTACAGTAAGCACTATCTTTGAACTTACTGCATAATCATAACATGAAATTCACCCCTGGTGTCATTCTGTCTGTCACCCCGTGACTCTACTTGCTTTGACTGTTCAAAT